GAGGAGGATACAAAGGGAAGATGTGCTGTGGAGGCAGAACTGGTAGTTGGCCTGATAAATGCTTTTTTCCAAGAGTAAGAAAGAACTAGATGTAATTAGTAATATCATAAAAAACAAAAATGATTCTATCTTATAACAAAGACACAAAAGCTATTTCAATATCAGTTGTCTAAACGCAATCTGTTCAACAACTAGCCAGAATAAAGAGCAAAGTATTACCAAATTAGGAGAATGAATAAATGAGAAAAAGACACCTCCACCATAATCAGTCTCAATGAGAAGCTGATTAAAATTTTTGGAAAATGGAAAATGGACAAAAGATAGCGACTTTCCCCATAATTTTTCTTAGAGAAATTTTGCATCTATTAAGCTGTCACCACAATGAGGAGACAAAGAGCCTAGAAACAGATTCAGCCAACACATACTTAATGCCCTTGGCAACCAGAAATACCTGACGGCCAAGGCCACAACAATTTAGAGTGAAAACTACAGTAAAAGTACAAGCTCTGCTTTGATTTGCAAAACATTAGAGGATGAAAGAAGACTTCAAGCAACACTGCCTTTCAAAACAACAAAAAAAGCACTGAATACAAAGATAACCATTCCACCATATTCCCCTCACTAATAACAGCGAGGAAGGTTTGCAAAGCACTTTATATAAACAACTCTGTGGGGCAGGAGCTATTATCATTATCCTCATTTTACAGAGGAAGAAACTGAAGCACAGAGAAGTTAAGTATGTCCAGGGTCACAAAGCTAGTAAGTCTTGGAGGTAGTATTCAAACTCAGGTCCTCTAACTCCAAGCACTACACTAACCACTGCGCCACCTAGAGGCCTCATTACACCATATAGCTTAGGTGGCTCAGTGGATAGAATCCTGGGCCTAAGGTCAGAAGACAAGAGTTCAAATTCAGTACTTACTAGCTATGTGAACCTAGGCAAGTCACTTCAACTCCGTTTCAATTTCCTCATCTGGAAAACAAGGATAACAACAACAGCACCTACCTCCCAGGGTTGTTGTTGTCAAGATCAAATAAGATATTTGTTAATTGCTTAGCACAAGCACCTGGCACACAGTAGGTGCTTAATAAATGCTTATTCATTCATCTATCCATCCACTTCCCTTTCAAAAAAAAAAAGAAAAAAGAAAAAGAAAAATCAACACTATCAGAAGATTGCTAAAGACAACTGTGAGAGCTACCAATAAAATTTTTTCCTTTTATTTTTGCCCTAAATTACAGTTCAAAGTAATGTGCCCCTCATTTTTGACCTACAGGTTCAAGGTATGATCCTTTTACATCCTTGCCACAAGTATTTTTTAATTCCTCCTAAGAATGATCATGGGAGCAGTGATGGGCTAAGGAAAGGGGAATAGTCTTCCCTTGGGTTGGTAGTACCTGTCCTTTTTATAGGGACTCTGAAGAGATCTGGTCCAACCAATAGCCACAAGACTACTCTTTCCAAACTGTCAGCCTGAGGCTGCATTCTGAATGTTCTCAGTAACTTAGTTCTTCATCTGCTTTAAAAGCACAAAAGCCACAAAACTCGACTAACACTGTTGACAGAGTTTCTCATGAGAGGAAGAAAAAAGGAGAAATCAAACTAGCTAGTATAGGGGTGGAGAACCTGCGGCCTCGAGGTCCTTGGGTGCAGCTTTTTGACTGAATCCAAAATTCACAGAACAAATCCCCTTAATGAAAGGATGTGTTCTATAAAACTTGAATTTGGTCAAAAAGCGGCACTCAAGGACCTAGAAGGTTCCCCACCCCTGAGTTAGTAATATTCCTGGCTCAAAGACACATCTTAAGCCTTTTCAATGACCTTAAAGTAGGAGGTCTTCTGTAACACCTACTGAGCTACAGCTTCCTCTACACTCTTCAATTCTCTTAATTTAGGACTCCTTGAGGTCAGATACACAAGGATATACCTGGGTAACTCAGATTCATCTTTCAATGCCAACAAAACATTTCTTAAAAGAAGTAAAGACCTACAACTTTAGATACTCAAAACAATGTGATACAGAAGCTCCCAAATGAAATAAGTTCGTTATTTTTACAAATGTAGAAGTTTCAGATCAAATAATCTCTTCATCATGTTCTAAGTCCCTTAGATAACGAAGTTAAGAGCAAAAGCACCAGCAGAAGTAGGGACAACTGACATCAATGTTTCATGGCAGGTAGGTTGGGCTCCCCTAAGATCCAAACAATTTTTAAAAATATCTAATGCTCCTTAAAATGAACTGTTTAATAAGGGAAGAACATATACACAAGAGTCATTACAATGCCTATTTTCTTCTCTAGTCCTTAAAATGAACAAAGAACCAGCCATAATCATTCCCTTAATGTTAACACACTCATCTACAAAAATGACTAATTCACTAAGTCTCTGTTTAGGGCCACTGACAATAGGCCTATGTGTCATAGTCTCCACAGGAAAATACTTCCCATCTCTGGGCAGGAAGAGGGAAAATGATTTAATATGAGCTAATTCATCACTGCACACTAAGAGATCAAGAGAGGCAGGCAATATTTTTGGGACTTGTTCAGTTCAGCTCAGTCTTCAACCTAAGAGGGTTACTAATAGAGCCAGTCAGTGATCACTGCTCATCTACCCTTCTCTACAAGAACCATCATGCTAACCCAGGCTACTGGGTCAACAGGCTGAGGTTGAAAATGTTCAGCATGCTTGATTCCCTACTTGCTATAAGGAATACCAACAAGTGAGAAGAGAAGACATGGGTGGAGGAAAGGAAAAACTGATCTGGTCAGTGGGTCTATTTTTAAATCTTTCTTCCTGTAGTCTATAAGGCAAGAGTTTCAGTTTTCAGCTTCAAAATGATTTGTGAATTTCTTAGTGTCTAAATAGTGACGGTTCATGCTGTGCCATTTCCCTTCCCCACCCCCATGACATAGTTCCAGGGGATGAAAGCCAGGAGATGGGGACTGGTAACTGCTTAGAAGGAGTGCAAACCACTAGCAGAAAGAAGCAAGAACCCAGAAATATCTATCGGGCTTCTGCATCCAATCTCAAACACTGGCTCTCAAAATTTTCAAAGCTGATGTTTTCAGATTTCTTTCTTAGCTTCTAGGTGGCGGATGCTTAGAATGTTTTACTCTCCCCAAAGGTCAATGACATTCCTGGACACACAGTGGAAGACAAACCCCTCTCCAGTCTAAGTTACCCAGAGAAGGTAGAGAAAACTGGAGCTCTGTCATGGCAACAGCCTCCAAGCTTTATCTGGCACCCAAATGGATCCTCTACTGGTCTGCATAGTGCCCGATGACCAGCAAAACCATTCCCAATGCCACATGAATGTAAATGCCACGAAATCCACTAAAGAGCTAAAAACTGGCCTTCCTATTGACACTTCTGCTTCTCCACGCTGCCACTCACAAAGTGCTTGTAAGGACAACCGAAGATGAGGTTATCAGATGCTTTGGGGAAAACCCCATGAAATTAGTTCTTAGCATATCTTGTTAAAAGCTCCTTGAGAACTTAAAAGGATAAGAGAATGAGAACAAGAACATATTTTCAAGCAAACTGGGTCCCTAACCTAAAATGGGGAATGAATGAAACCACATTACTTCTACAGTCAATAAGAACAATGAGTCAGGGTTAAAAGCATTACCAACTGCTCAGGCACCACTAACCAAAAACAGGTTGTTTTTAGATGTCAAGTCCACTACCTTTTCTGAGTAGAGATTCCCCAAATCCTAGGCTTATCCTCAAACATTTCAGTTTCTGTCCAAGTCTCCCTGACCTAGAATCTGATTTCTTGTGTCATATCACCATAAAACAAGAATGTAACAAATCTCCTGACTAAACAAACTGCAGTTTTTGTAAAGAACAAAATTCTATAAAAAGCAAAACTTTGAACATGTGGGCTCCCCTAAAACATGGAAAACATACCGACATGGAACCTATGTGCTAATACATTTCATTGAACTACAAAATTCTGTCACAAATAAAGCAATTTCGTTGCAATTTCTCTAACTGTATTTTGTACTACCACCCCTGTCACCAGAATGAATTCACCACAAGTCTACAGATTCATTTCCACAAAATGGTTGATTCCCAAGCTGAGATGCAAATACAGCTATCAGGCCTTCTTAAACGTATGTGACCTGCTTGCCAGCAAATAACATAACCCATTGCACTTCCCACAAAGAATAATGAATATTTCTCATTAACACTACCCTTTCATTTGATCACGGGTAAATAAAGTATAATTGTAGTCAAGAGAAAAATCAAGAAGATTAGGCTATCACTGACAATGAGATTTTTAAGAGCAAACAAAGACACCAGGAAATGCACTGGAATACATCACCCAGGACTTAGGATGAGCTTTCTACATCTCTGGAAGAACAGCAACAGATTGGAAATGTGTAAAATAACTCAAGTGTGTTACATTTACAGTGCAATCAGGACTCAGAAAACTCAGCGTTAAATCCTAGCAGTCCCATATTGCCAAAAGGAAGACAATGAAAACTTGATGAGGTTATTCAAACTAGAAGGATGAGAAGCAAAATGGTAGTTCTAAAACAGGGCTGTACTGCCTTGATAATCTAGGGATACCATCTTTTTTCAACTGATCATGCTTTATCCACTTGTAGACAAGAGGAAGGGAAAGACTACTTTTAAGTAAACAGAAATGCCAATTTTAAAATCCTACAAATATTTACAAAATACCAGAACACAAGAAAGCTAAGAGCTATTGAGGAAGGGGAAAAAATCAGAATTATACCTGAGAGACAGACAGACAGAGAGAGAGAGAGAAAGAGACAGAGAGAGACTCTTTGCCCATCTACCGAAATATTCCCAATGACAGCAAACCTGACTACCCAAGGTCTATTATTTCTGTAGGTACCACTTTCTTAGAAGGAAACCAACATGTGTCAAAGATAGACATTACATATTATTGTTCTAAGAACATTAAAAACAACAAAATGGAGGAAAATGAAGTATAGATGCTTGAAGATGAAGTCAGGCTGACACTTACCACAAACTTCTCGCCATTCTGCTCCACATGTTTATATGTGGGGACTGATATGGGCACCGCTTGCTTTTCCGTATAGTCGTAAAAGGACTGTCCCAATGAGTCATCACTGGGATCGAGGTTATCTGCCTCATGAGGAGGTACAGATAACACTGTCAAGATCAATTCCTTTTCACCAGCTCGGATCAGATCCACCACCTGCTTGTGTGTTGCCCCTTCCACATTCACGCCATTCCTGGGGGGGGTGGAAAGAGGAAAAACAAACCCATGAGGCATAAGAGTCCATGACTCCTTCCCAGGCCCCTCCCAAATCAAGGCAACAGAAACAGAAGGAAACTCTAGACACATCCATGTGTTCTGCTATGGACAAAATATCTCTTACTATCTGTTATAATACAGCCTTTATCTAGTTACTTGGAACAGATTTAATTAATTCATTAAAGATTTTTTAAAAACTGGTTTGTGTGCAAAAAAAAAATCTGTCTTTAAAAGATCCTGATATGAAAACATATCTATCAAAAATCTAATAGAAACAGGCGAGAGGTCTGCAATCTTATACACAGCTATATCGTACATGAGAAACAGGGTGAAGCCAAGGGGGAAAACAAAGCTTTTTAGGCTAAACAGTCCAATTTCCTCATCTGAACTATTCAGGTACAAAGCCCAATCCAAGTGTCTCCTGCCACTGAAGTCATTTGAACAGAATGATTGTCCTTTGTAACCCCAGGGGAATTTGGTTAAATGGATTTTTTTTTTTTAACAAATTCATCTCTTTAGTTTTCAAAGTACAGTTTAATGGATGTACTTTTATATTACTCTCCGATTTGTAAGCATATCCTCCAAATGGCCTGCCCTTCTCACTGCAATACTTAATTTCTTCTAGAGGAAGAAATTTCCTTAGGAATTAAATGAAATTTCTCTTCATACCAAATTATGTTTTCACTGCATCAGCTGGTACTGAGATTGAAAGAAACTTCCTACCCAACTTGCTTCATTTCCCCTACTTATTCCAATTCACCTTATCTCTCTCCTATGTGATTTCTACCCAAAGCTTGGTCTAGTCAGTCTGAACTAGAACACACACAAATCTCTTTCACTTGCATCCCAGAGAAGAAGCCCGTGTCCTCATTCCTTCCCCAATGTCAGTATGTACACAGAATTGGCAAAGAAATAAACCACAACATCCAGAAATCTACAGTTTTTGTACAGAAAGTTTCCAAGTCCTAAAAAATTTACCCAATAATCAAACTGCCTTACCAAGAGGAGGATCCAGTCAGTAAAAATCATTGGGCAACTGGCCCAAGCGGAACCTCCTATGGATGTCCCACAAGAGTCAGACACAACACACACACCTGGCCTCTAACCAATTTGATATTTGAGCCTATCTCCAAAGAAAACTGACCTCTCTTTCAGTTCTGACCCAAACCATCAATTCTTCCTTCCTGAAAGGGGTGCTAAGGTTAGTAACAAACCTACCACAAACTTTTCTGTCACTGGAATTATCTCTGGTAGCTAAAATACGTATAAACAGGCCAGGAGATCACTCAGCCTGCCTGGTTCATCAGTCTGAGCGCAATGAACTGGAGTGCCAGTAAACACACTACTTTATACACACAGAATCCCAAAGAAAGCCAGTGGTTAGTTGGAGATATAAATCCAGATTGGGTCAGTAATCAAAAATATAGTCAACTCTATATTCAGTGATTTATAATTCCATTTTTGGACTATTAAGGATTTCTCCTCTCACTTTACAAGATCACAAATTTAGTACTGAAAAAACCTCAGAGGTCATCTATTCCAATTCTTCCAGTTTACAGATACGGACATTGAGTCCCACAGAGATTTACATAACTTGCCCCTCATCACACAGGTAGTAAATGGCAAAGAACAAGAATTCAAACCCAGATTCTAAGACTCTAAAATTCAGCACTTTTTTCTTTTTTTAATTCTGAACTTCAACAAACACCAAGTGCACATCACTCTTTCCACTGCACCACATGGCTTCCTCTGTCTTGTTGCCTGTGACTTGGTCGTATCACTACGAACACCTTCATCCAAAGGTACAGCATTGAAATCAGACTTTAACAGTGTACTGATTAGCACCTCTAGGGAAAAGTAAGGTAGGAAAGAGAAAGAGATGTTAGGTAAAATTGAAGCTAGACAAATCAAGGGTGGATTTTATTCACCCATTCTCTCCTTGGTCCCCATCAACATAGATATCTGAAAAGCTGGCTAGGAATTTGGGAAGTTTTTTGTTTTGCTTAAACAGCTGGAAAGGAGAAAATGAGGCTATTCCATGTAACGATGGAAATTTAAATAATAACATGTCTGAACTAAGACCAATAGATTTTATTAGGCATTTAAGTGAAATTTACTTTGTGGGAAACTTTCAGGAACAGACACCATGTAAATCTGTTCAATGGCCATTTCTCAACTGACTTAATTTTTTTCTTAATTAAAAGACTACCTACAACATCTTTCACAAATTAAAGTGTTAGATGGTTCAAGGTAACAAGCCCTATAAATGGTCAGAGAAACTCAGAAGTGAGACTCCAGGAAAAGCTCTGTAATCAGACCATTTGTATCCTTTAGCCTACGCTGCAGTTTTCATCTTTGCTTTTCACATAAAAAGGGCAAGTTGAGCACCCACAATGTCAAACAGTGACAGGAAAGAGTTAACCATTACATTCTAAACATATATGCTAACATTTACTTGGTTCAGCTGTGGAAGGAATGTTGTATATTCCACAAGTTAAAGCAGAAGTGGACATTCCTTCAGTTACAAAAGGATAAAAAGAGGTCAAACTTGGTTTGATGGTTGACTCCATAAACAGTCCTCTCATTTTAAGAATTAAGAAGTCTCTATGATCACAGGAATTCACATAACACCTTCATCTCTCTAAGACTGCTACGGTTACAGCGAAATTACACATGTCCCAATTCCTGAGGAAATTTGGGAGACAAAAGAATATTAAACAAATTCAATAATAAATAGGGCACAAGAAAGAAATTTGACAGTATTCTGCTTTCCTTGCTAGTGTAACATTCCTTTGTACAAAAACTTTCAATGATTCCCTACTGAACAAAAGTCCTCCTTAGCATGACATTCAAGGGTCTCAGCAACCTGCTCCAAATCACTTTTCCAGTTTTATTTCCTTTCATACAGCACACAATCCAACCAAGTTAGATAATTCACTATTCCCCAAACAGCACTGCTTCCCACCTCCATGATTTTGCTTACAATATTCTCCCAATCTCATCCATTTTTCCAATGGCCAATTTAAATACTATCTTCTCTATCAAATTTTCCTTTCCCTACTTCCATGTGAGAAGCAATGTGTGTGTCTCTCTCTCTTTTAAACTTGACATCATTCTGTTATTCTGTAATACAGTTAATATCACCTTCTGCCTTGTACCTATTAAGGTTCAAGGTATCTTCACTCTTTCCATATTAGGTTTGTACACTCCTTTAAGGCAAGAGATACCATCTTGTTCATCTCTGTACTCATTCATCCAATAAATATTTGGTAAATGCCTACTGTACGCCAATGGTTTGGCCACTAAATGAATGAGGTGGGGGAGAGACAGTAATTAATGGAACCATGTACTAAGGGATTCTAGTGTGAACTACACATCTATGAGGAATTTGTAGATCTTATGAAATACTGAAACAATAAAAAAACAATTAAAAACTATGGTTACAAATGCCCCACAGTGGTTTAACACAGTACGTTACACTGGTAAGATACTTTGAGGATCCATACTCACTCTCAACTGTTACCCTATTTACATATAGCCCCCTCTTAGCACCAATTTCTCTCATTTTTCCTACTATCCTATCACTTCCATAAGTCAAAATTGGAATCCTGTAAGGCCATCTATCTACAGGCAATAACTACTAGAAATGCATGAAGGATCCCTCCAATTAAAAGCTTTGGGGACCAAAAGATGGACTTTGATACAATGGCTTGTCTTACAATCAACAAAGAAACAAACTTCCCAAACCAAAACAGAAAGAAAATAATAAAAGACAATCTATGATATACCATTTGTGCTTACTCAAAGAGAAACTGGCATTAAAAGCACAATCTCCTAAACCCTTCCCTCCCAAAAAACCCTCTCACAAAGAAATCTAAAATATCATCCCCTGAGACAATTGGCTATTGCCAAATTTACTCTATGTCCTCAGCCTCACCAGAACATTTTATCATATTAGTGAAATTCTTCCATCATACATCTCCTCCCATGGTAGTTAAGTGGTAGAAGTGCTGGTCTGAGGTCAGGAAGATTCGTGTTCAAAACTGAACTTAAGACACTTACCAGCTGTGTGACCCTTGGTAGGTAAGTCATTTAACTTCTCTTTGCCTCAGTTTCCTCCACTGTAAAATGGAGATAGAACAATACCCACCTCACAAAACTATTATGAGGCTCAAATGAGATAAAAGTTGTAAAATGCTTAGTGTAGTTCCCAGAACACTGTAGGTGCCATATAAATGCTGATTCCTTTCCTTTCTCTTCCCTCAGGATGGTACTTAGGCTGGATAATAGGAGTGGCTTCAAGTAAGACTCTAACTGAAGTTAGCCTAACCAGCTGAGCAAACAGCTAAACTGATTTAAAGCCTTCCAGGGAGATGAAGAAAAAGTTTGCATTCGACTGATTAAAGAGCTGATAGTAATAGAGACCATTATTCTGAATGAAAAAGCAATGACACAACCACTCAGTCATATGTATTACAGCAAGGAGTCACTACACTGTCTATGGCATACTACTAATACTACCATGTGTCATCAAGTGGTTAACTACTATCTATCTGATCTCCAGGAGATAGTGCAAAATGTAGACAGGAAATTCCTATAACTTCTAGTAAGGAGGAAGACTTTAATAAAAGTGCTGTCATTAAGACCCAAAGACTGAAGCAGACCTGAAACACAAAGCAGTCATTTTAAGGTCCCTGGAGAAGGAAGTCTATCTAATCAGAAACTTTTTCAAATCCTTCCAAACTCACTTTAGAGTGGGGATTCAGCCCCAACCTTCTTTTTATTCTACAACCTGAGTCCCACGCCATAAACATCTATCCTGCAAAAGGAGAATGGAGAACTTTTATAGTAGCTTCTTCAGTGCCAGGAAGGTGAGGGAGGGGAGACAGGGATGGAGGTGAGTGGATTAACCTTCAGAAATGTGATGTATAATGCAACACCCACAACACTCCTCCTGGAGAAGCCACACATTGCTTT